AGATATTTTTATTAGAATATGAATTTTTGTAAAGTTTTTCTTGGTTTTGCTCCTGAATTTTCCTTTGTAAAGCAAAGTTATACAGGTAGTTCTTGCTTAATTACCATAACAGGGACCAAAAAATTGGTCATTAGGTGGGGCGATCATTAAGCAAGTCACCACATGACCAGACCCAATTTTACAACCATTTTTATGATGGTTGTTAAGCAAATCGCCATGTTTGTTAAGCGAATCACATGGTCATTAAGCGAATCACATGGTCGTTAAATGAATCCAGCTTCTCCAATGGACTTTTTTGCCGGAATTCACTCAATGACCACACAATTTGCTTAACCACGGTAATTTGCTTAATGACCATCGTAAAAAAGGTTGCAAATCACAATCACGGGGAGTGGTGTGATAGTTTGTGATGGTCGTAAGTGTGAGTACAAGTCATAAAGCACTTTTCCCGAGGCCATTGTAACTTTGAACCATCGTTAAGTGAACGGTCATTAAGTGAGGACTACCTGTAAACATAAACAATTAATTTCTTTTATCCTTATGAACTTCTCAGATTTGTCCCTTTTTCAGGTTTGTCCTTTATTTTTTCCAAGAAAATATGGTCACTGTATTTATGAGAGATTCTCCACTGGAGTGGGACTTTACTAGGTAACTATCACAACTATTCTGTTCTCGTGACTCTGAGTTCAAATCTTCAGTGAGGAAATAAATGTTTCTCCTGGATTTTTGCAACCCAAATCTGGTAATCTTAGAAAGCCCATTGGACTGGGCATTGTTGAAAGTCAGTAGACTGAAGATAGGGTGGCTTTGGATGTGACTGCAAACCATCAGTAGCACCAGATGCTTCTACACCAGTAACAATTATTTTGTGGTCCCTTGTGTGATATTAATCCTGTTTCTTCCTTTTCAAGGTAACATTGCTCTCATTTGCCACAGAATCAGAACATACATTTCTAGATTACATCAAAGGAGGGTAAGTGGTCTCTCTTTCTAAAACACTGAAACTTAATCCAGACAACATGGGAAAGACTGTTGGTAGGTATACATTTACCTACCAACCTGGGTTTAGAGCTGCAGTCTAACTGGGATAGAATTGTACTTCAGCCAAAACAAATAAAATATTTAATAAATAATGTAAATGACTGCTGCTAGTTTGCTCTTCCCTTTTCAAGATCTTTAAGAAGGCGTAGCTTTGTGTGATTTCTGAAACCAGAATTAGGTTAAAAATGCCCAGGTAAGGCAGGATTAGTTTTAAAAACTATAAAGCAAGGTTCGTGGTTAGTTTATGAGTTCTGGTTTGTTTGAGAATGCATAATTATAATTCTCAAATGTTCCTTGGTGGCAAGCCACAACCAGCTACAGATTTGGTGGGTCTGGTACCCCCTTTACAGCCCCTAAAATATATCCAAAAATTCCACTGACAAAACAGTGGCAAAATGATAATGTTTCAGTTGTGTGATTTTGGACACAAAAATACCTAAAGAAGCAGCAGAAACGGTTCCCCAAGCCTCCAGGAAGCCAAACATACACCATTAAAATTCTCCAAAATCCTCAGAAGCTAGGCCCAAATCATGCTGCCAAAAGATGGCATTGAAATGGCCAAAGTTTGGCAGCATGATTTTCAGCTAAAAAAAGAGAAATGGGGTGGGAATGCAAGCACAAAGTTCCAGCATTGTGAAATGCTCCCATTTCCGCCTGTGAACCACCAACCCAAATCTACACACACAAAACAAAGCAAGCCAAGATTTTTTATCCCCAACCTCTGATGACATCATTGGCATCACTCGGGTTGTGGTCCCAAGACCAAAACGACAGCTCCCAGTATGAAGCTCCCTTTGCTTGGTTTGTTTCCCCAAAGAGAAGAAGCAAATAGAAGTGACCAAGCTGTTGCACCAGCATGATTCTTGATCATGTAATGGTTTGATAACCCAATTGTCCTGGCCTCAGGTGACATGGAAATGCAACAGGTGATTCTTGTATGTCATTATAAAATTATGTTGCGGGGTTAGAGACTGATGATGAGGATTTAACCAACACCATGAAGCACTGGGCTGGTGGGACAGTGTTAAAGACTAGACACACAGAAGTTCAATTTTAGTTGGGTAGTAATCAGACTTGTTCTATTTTGAGAACACCCAAACAGTATAAGCCTGGTTGCAATATTACCATACTGTCTGGGAAATATTTTCCATTTTGTTTCAATATGAAGTTTAGCTTGTATCAGGGTAACTAGAACTGATCAGGAAACATGCTGCAGCTCTGTGGCGTAAGCCAGTTATTTGCTATTTTCTTGCCAAACATACAATTTTAAAATGCCACAGGAGAACAACCATTGAGCTATTTATGATTTAAAACTCCACATATGCCTGCTATTCGTACAACTAAACACCTGGGCAACGTTTATTGAGCTCATGTATCAGATACATCTCTATAATGTCATATTTGTTATAACATTTTGTCCACCATCTCTCCAAAAAGCTTAGTGCATGGGATTTTGTGATAATAAAATTGAAAGTGAAATAGATAGATTCCCCTGATTATATGAGTGTAACAAATGGCTTTCCCTTCTGATTTGAATTGTGCCTGTTTGCACCATCAGACATTGAATTACTGATAAATTATTCAAATGAACACTGGAAAGAAAATTGTTGGTTACAGAAGATCTGAAATCCATGCCCAGCCGTGGTGAGCAGATTATCTATTTTTTAGAAAGTGGAACTGTTACATGAGAATATCAAGATAAAACTGCTGAAAACACACTGGGTTGGATCCAGTTTTTGCCATGCATAGAGAATGCCTGCTAAAAGGGGATCTTAGTCTGATGTTAATGGGCTTCAAGATATAAAATTAATATCAAAATCTGCAAGCAAAGGCAAGAGGATCTGTTTGTATTTGGGACAGTGAGAGAGGATATAACATAGAGCTTTTGGTCCAGTGCTTAATTTATTAGACCTAAGAATAACAACTTGCGTTAGATAAAATGGGCATTGAGAGAGAACCTTAAAACATAAGCTAATAGAGGATCGAAGACATGTAAAAAATGAGGAATAAGGTACCTCGGGAGAGGCTGAGTCAGTACTATTTTCTGTGTTCATCTTACATAACGTAGCTATATTACTTTCTATTTCTCTTGCCACCTGCAACAGAAAAAAATGAAAAAAAAATAGCCTCTAAAAGTCCAAAGTCATTTTGAAGAAGGAAGCTCAAATGAATTCCACACCTTGAATAGATATTTTTTTTGCTGATATACCTTTGCTTCAGCCAGAATCCCTTTTGCCTCCCAGCCACTGAGTCATCATAGCCAGTTCTCACCAGCAAAATCTGTTTATGTTCAGTCCGTGTAATATTTCATATATTTAATCAAATGTCTCTTATGTTCAGTTTTCCCATTCATCAGTTTTACCATGTATTTACTAACACTGCAACTTTTCCTAACAAATGCATTTAGTAGATTGTCTTCCCTAGCATGCACATTTTGGTATGCAGTTTTGGTGTTGAGAACTGTATTCCAAAATTTGGAGATGTGCACTGCCCGGAGGATGACTGTCATATTTAGTCTGGAAAGTGCAAGTTAGATTGCTTACTTTAAAATGCTAACCAGATTTTCTTCCATCCTAATGCATCTGGATTAGGCAATGTGAAGGGATGCTGCAACAAAATGTTGCAGTATGGGGACCTCATGTTAACGATGCTCTGTTCCCTAACTAACCAGCAGTCACCATTTCATGGTCACTCAGAAAGCAAGTCTTGATTGGGCTGCTCTGCAGTCCTCTATTTTGCAAATTTTGTGTGTATAGGTGTTTTGAATTTTTGCAGTCCTTACATTCCCCAAATCTGATGGATATTTCCCACCTTTGCTACTGTTTTGTTGCTGTTTTCTATACAGCGCCGAGAACTGGCTTTTATTTAGACATTAGGCACTGGGCTTGTTGCTTATGGCCAAGAGTGTTTTAGCTGATGTACCTACCAGCCATTCTTGGCCCATAAAAACCCAGCATTCTCCATGTGCAAATGTCAATTCACAGAAGAATCCATCAGAGTTCAATTTGTGGCTTTTGAGAGGCACTAGATTCTAGAAATCAATCCAAGCACGTTCAGAGCATTTAACAACCAACAGTAACAACCAATAATAATAACCCATTATTAACTTCTCAGAAGGAATCCTAAAAGACCAAGATGTAGATTCATTAAAGGGTGAAGAGATTTCTTAGATTTATTCAGTATTAAAGTGGACCTTGAATGGTTTTTGGCAGTTAGTACAAGCTCTCTGAAATATGTTAGTAAGTTTGTTTTATTCTTCTTTTCTTGAAACTCATAATCCTCTTACTTTTCTCAAGTGAGTAATTCAACATGTTTCCTCTCATTCACTGCCTTTGACCAAATTTCCCTTAAGGCCCTCTCAACTCAAGAGAAAGGTGTTCAGTTTAACATCTTAGGAATTACTCCTTTCCTTTCCTTGACTCATCTGTTTTCTTTCTTGGCAGAAGTCAACCGAGCTTCCCAGCAGGGCTCCTTTACAAGCTTATCTGATGATTTCTTACTACCCTGGTTCAAGTATTATGCTGTGCCATGATATGGTTTGTTTGGGGCTCAGCAGGGTGTGTGAAGTCTTAGCTAGCACTTAAGGCCTGGAGAGCAATTTGCTTTCTGTGCAATTTTTTTCTTTTATTATGACTTTAGTTTTAAGTTTTACAGATTTTCTTTATTAGTTATTGGATTTGCCACATCTCCAGGCTCAGAGGTAATATGGAAATAAACACAGATGGGGAGTGTCCTTTGGCCTTTACTTGCAGCTTCTGAGCTTAGGCAAATTCGGACACCACCGATGAAAGAAATGGATCTGTGGGGTCTCAGTTCTGCACAACCAGAGATAGTTACACCTTTGTGCTCTCTTCTGGAGTTGAAAGTACTCCCCTGGCTGGTGCTAGTTCTAATTTGGATGTATCTCCAGAGCAGCAAAACAAAGGGGCCTTTCCCTCTGGCCTAGTCTCTGCCTATCTACCCGGCATTTAAAATGTTATCTCCCACTGACAGCTGCATTCTTTCATTGAAGGCTTGTGTGACATCTGAAGGAAAGGCCTGTCATGCGAGTCATTGCTATTGATGGAGGATGGGAGATGACAGATTTGGAACCTCATCTGAGAAGGCTGCCAGAGAAATGTCTGCAGACAGTTTTTTCAATCTTCTATTTTAATAGCACTGGTGTTCACTGTCCTTTAAACCATATTCCTTGTCCACCAAGATAGGCTCCAGAACTGAGAGTTTCCCTGATTCATAAGAACTCCTAGAGGGACAAAGAAAAGAGACTGAGTTATTAATATCCAATACTGGCAGCAGTGAAGTATGTCTTCACTTCATTTCATTTCATTTCATAGCATTTTTATGCTACTATTTTGCAGGATTTAGGGCAATATGCAAACAAGCTGGCCTAAAAATCTCTCAACATCCCATTTAAATCACTATAAAATTAATTTAAACATAATTGAAGGCCACCCAGCATTCATAGGTAGGTGTTTTTTAGAAAGCATGAGTTTCATTGCCTTCCTGAATCCCAGAATAGGGTCAAGCCCACAGAATGAGGCAGCCATTGAGACCGCCTCCCTTCTTTTTTCTCTCTGGGGTGAAACTCTCAGCAGGCGTTTACTAGGTGTCTGTGCAGGACAGATGCAATTTCATTGGATAGCACAGACCCTGATATAATGATATACCGTGCCATATACCTGTAGGGCTTTGTAGGTAATAACCCAGACCTTAAATTGAGTGTGGAAACCTGATGACAGGCAGTGCAGTGATTACAAAATCAGTATTCACTGCAGTAGTGAGCTTCCCTTGCTAACAGTTTGGCTGACAGATTCTATACCAGCCATAGCTTCTGGGTTGTAAAGCACATTGCAGTAATCCAGCCACATGGTGATAAAGGATAAGTTACATCACCAAGTCTTCTCGGTCAAGGATAGACCATAACAGATGCACCAGCCTAAGCTGGACAAAGCCCCCAGCCTGTTGTTCCAGCAGGAACCATGAATCCAGGAAGGCCTGTAATGGTATGTGGGAATGACCTTTAGAGGCAAGGGGAAGAGATGCTGTCTAGGGAATGATCAGATAAAAGGGGGAGGAGCCCACAGCTGAATTACAGGAACAGAAAGAAACTTAGAAAGGATCTGCCTTAACTTAATCAGGCTGTAAAAAGAGACAGTGGGAGATTTGTGCTTTCAAACTTGCAAGATTCTATTAATGTAGCCTACCACCTTTTCAACAACATTTACCCCAATGGAAGGGTTAAAACTAGGCAGAGTTGTTCAGTATGACTTGATTGAAAGATAACAATTCAAGAAGGGGTATGCACCACTTTTTCAAGGCAGAGGGGCATTAAACATCTCCCAAATCCACGTTCACATACCCCACCCAGTTGCCCAAAGAAGGGAGATAGGGTATGGGTCCAATTCACAGGTGGCAGAGCTCATACTACAGAGCATCCTATCCACTTCCTCAGGTTCCACAAGTTCAAAATAATCCCAAGTAATGATGCAAGACACTGTCCCCCAGTATCTGTCGGCTTTGCTCAAGTGGTGTCCAGGCCTGAGTAAACACTCATTTGTGTTTACTCAGGCCTTCTTTGCAGATAAAGTGTTTGCAGATAAAGTCACATCTTTATCTGCAAAGAAATCTGCAAAATCTCTGGTTGAAGCATTTTGCCGGCCCAGCCATCCTTCCCTTTGAACAAGACTTCCAGATGGGAATCTGCAGATGCGATGAAAGTGAAGCTTTTTTACCAGTCTTATTGCTGCTATGTAGTCCCCAACCTGGGTACATACCAATGGTGGGTCATATTCACTTGTCTGCTGTAGACATTTTTTCAGTCACTTTCTTTCCCAAAGCTCTTCTGAAAACCAGGATGCCATTCAAGATCAGCAACCGGGAAGAGGCCTCACAGAAGCAATCCTGTTTTGCATTCTGGTTTTCTCCTTGTATCAGAGATTAACCAGAATTGCTCACCAAATCATCAGGAAATTCCCCAAGTACTCTCATCAGATCACTGGGGCAGACTGTCTTAATCAGTCCATTGTTCTCACATTGGCCCATGGTAAATAAGATTTGCAGCCTGACCAGAAAGTAATCTGAGCACAGCAGATATCTGTGCCCTCTATATTCAGATAATGTCTCATTTGCTGCAAAGTAAAAACCAGATGAAGTGTGTGCCCACCAGGTCCAAGATTATTTGGGATAAGCCCAAAGAGTCCTTGACATTCCAAGTCAAACTGAATCCATCTTCAGACCCTGGAGATTGTAGTCCCAAAGGCTCATGGACTCCCAACAATAGCCCCAGGATGAGGTCCAAGAAGTCCTGGAGAGCTGTTGCTCAACACCAGGGTGGTGAATACACCAGCAGCAGGCCAAATTTGTCCCTGCAATTTTACATATGGGCATTTACAACCAGTTACCTATAGGGTAGTCCTACCGGTCATTGCTAGAGTATCCCAAATGATTACAGAAGCTTCTACTCCCTTGACCTTGGAGCCAGAGTTGCTGCAGGAACTAAAAGCCAGAAGGGCAGGTTTCTGATAGAGCTACATTCCCATTACTGCACAATCACATTTCAGTAATATGTGCCAAGACTACACGTCACAAATGTGGTCTTAATCAACATTTACCAGCAGCAGGTTGAGTTCACGATGCCCATTAATTTGACCACTTGGGGCCAGGATTGAAGCAATTGGGTTAAACTGCATTGTCTTAATATGAGGTTCCAACTTCTGGATTAGTCTACCCAGTGCCCCCTGTCATATTTTCCCCTGTCCATCATGGTTTCATTGTGGTCCACATTTCCTTTACCCCCAGCTTCATAGTCAAGCACCCCTCAGTGTCCTGTTCAGCATCTGCCGCCCATATATCTTTTTTAGTTTTGACCCACCAATCTAATCACACACTTAACCAACATCATCTTCCAGCCACACTCACATAGTCACTTAGGCCTACTCATGTCCACTTGCCCTAACCTTTCTTCTAAACCCACTTTCCACAGAGACCCATTTTCCAGTGCTCTGTTTGCTCTGTATGGGGGGCAAAGTTCTTTCTACCCTTTCTCTCACTTTACAATCTGTTTCCCACTTAGGAAGCATAGTGTCAAAGTCCTAGTGCAGGATCCACCAATATGTTCACTCCTCAGTCTGCAGCCTCCAGATAACACCATGGGAATTATCCTCCAGAAACCTCCATTGAAGCCTTTCCAAAATTTCACTTATTCTGACTTCAGTCCTAGGTCTTCCCTGCCACCTATCTTCCTCTCTTTATCACAGCTTCAATCCTGCTCACCAATGTCTGTTGAAACACCTTCTACCATGTGGGCCCTATTTTTCCTCCAGCCGGCAATGCCACAGCCACCAAATCCACAGTAGCAACTCCTATAGTGTCCCCTCATCACCCAGCAGCCACTGCTTTGGAGGAAACTATCATCTTTTTCCCTTCCTTTCTGACTTCACCACTGGCCAGGGACTAATTGACATGATCTTACATTCTGGTCAGCATCGGGTCTGGTCCTCTTTCTCCTGTCCTCTCCCAGTACTTCATCCCTCCTCAATCAATATCTTACCATCCAGCATCGCCCACCTCTTCTCAGTCCTTCTTATCCTATCCTTCCCTCCATTCAAAACTCATAAACTTTCCCTTCCAAACTATTCTATCCTGCGTAATGCCAACTGCAAAATCATCCCTCATGGATCAAAAGTTTTTGTTTTTACATGAATGGTTAATAAATCCTCCTTCAAGCATTACTTCCAAGAGTGTGCATGTTCTGCCTCATTCTCCACCCCACCCCCAATTCTCCAAACTATAGCTTCCCAGGCTGAAATGGAAAATCCACAGGGAGGTTTAATACATTTGGCTGAAAAAGTTAAGCTACCAGCTTCAGGGCCAATTACATGAAGTGATAGATTATGCATCCTACATCTTTCACCCAGTGAACTAACTGGCATTGCATGGATATGCCGGGGAGACCCACTAGCCCTGTTCTTGCTGTGGCAAATACCATAGCAGCCGTTGTGGATTATGTCTACAGCATTCCCACAATCCATAGATTTAGTCTGGCAAGATTTGGTCTTGACAAGTCTCTGCTGACTTCTTGTAACCATCACATTGTTTCCAAGGTGCTTACAGATGGCTTGCTTTATGATGTGCTCTAGAATCAACACCAGAATGATAGGTATAGTTCCCTGAATTCTCCATTTCTCTCTTTTTGAAGATAGGGACAACATGAGTCCTCCTTCATTCATTTGGCACTACATCCATTCTCCAGAGTTTCTCAAATATTGCACATATATGTTCAGCCAGACTGTCAGCAAGTTCCTTCAGTATCCTAGGATGCATTTCATCTACTGCTTCTCATATCCCAATCTCAAGCTTCAGTCCTGGTCTATCCAAGAGGGACCCTAAAGCAATCTTCATTGTTGCTGTTTGGAACATACGCTCTCTTGTTGGAAAAGATAGAGCCAAAATAAGAGTTCAGTAGTTCTGTTTTTTCTTTGTTACCAGTTAGCATCTTAAATAAGCAGCTGACATACTGATTCTTTTTTCTCTTTTATCTTGAGGAAACGTTTGTTTTTGTTAGCATTCTTCACAGTCTCAGCTCATTCTGTACCTCAACCTGTCTAACATCATCATTACAATTCTGGTCTGTATAGTTTTCCTTTATGACAAACTCCTGTATGAACTTCCTGTAGGTGTTCTTTTTATATAAATAAATAATACAGACCTTAATGGCACACAAACAGCATGTCAACCATATCTGAGAAACGTCGTAAGCCTACAATAGCACAATCTGGTTTTTTGCACCTTCTTTGAGTCCTCTTTATAAATGAAGTCTTATTCTAATCAATTATTATAAACATAAATTCTTGGAATAAGAATAACAGTAGAAGGAAAAAGGAAATAAAGATGAGGAAGTGGAGTTCCAAACAACTCTGGATTTCATTTCTCTCAAAAGGTCTGGACTAAATATTTTACAGTTTACCAGCCTAAATGATGATGATGTGATTATTTTTTTCCAGGACACAGATCAATTTTACAGTAGCCATTGACTTCACAGCTTCCAATGGTAAGTTTTGATTTATTCATTTTTGTTCGTATGTTTTGTATTTAATTTGTTATTTGCTTATACAATTTACCAGTGTTTAAAAAATAAAATTGAAGCATTATACTTTTATTAAAGTCATTAAATCTTAAGCCTAAACATATTGCATAAAAGTGCCCATTATGTTCAATGGTAGCTTTCCCCAGGAAGGCATTCATTAGATTCTTAACCTAAGGTGACCTCAGAAAAACTGTCTAAGGGATTATAGAATATGTTGACCTTCTCCCTCTCCACTCGGGAGTGATCTGATCTTGCAGGCCTCTTCTAACCCCATGGAAACTTCTGAAGCTGATTCTTCTTTAATTTTGAGCTTTGTCACATAAGGTCAGATTGCTTTGCCTGCCCTGTTAAAGGTGGTGGCATCTTATTAACTCATTCAGTATCAAATGAGAAAGCAAAATATTTCATGCTGGAAACAAGCCCCAGTTAGGAACTATGGAAGGGTGTGATGAGATAATATTGTAAGGAAAAAGGCAAGATCAGTTTCTCTCTTTACAATTCTCTTTACAATAAAAAATTATTGATAATTTTTTGCTGTAAAAATCAGGCTCAGTTCACTTTAGACAGGAATGTGGCCTCCTGTTCTACTGATTTTAGTGAACTGGGTTCAGGGGCAAAACTAGAAGAGGTGAGCAAGACTGACTGATGATGTATATACAAATGTAAAAGATGTGAATGTGTGCCTTGGAAAATCATTGCCTTCCTAATTTCAGCCACGTAAACAGGCTAATGCTGTCTCTCATGCATGCACACAATGCATATCTGCTTGTAGATAAGATCACTGAATTCTTAGCAGATTCAAGAGTATTTCACTATAGTAAGATAAGATTTATTATGCCACCATGCTGTCTCTTTCATGAAATTTCATTAGATGTCCAGATGATGATTTCTAGCTCTTCTAACTCCTAGGTCTTACGTATCTTCCTATGCTTCTACTATCTTTTTTTTTCTTCCTATAGAGAGTTGGTAATGTGAAAAAGATAGAATGACTGCACTGTAACCAGACTATTTTATTTTGTGGTGTCTGAAGGCAACTCTGAAAATAACTGCAGGTTACTGTAGAGATTGTGTGATGTTTCAAGTATATAACGTGTGTATAATTGGCCTGATGTGTTTTAATTGTTTAGAGCATTTGTATATGGCCCTGCGTAATATTGAAATCAGTAGGATATGCACATTAGAGCAATAAAAATAAATAACAGACTCAATACTAATTAAAACAGCAATGCAAATTCCAGTTTCTGTATTTAAAATATAGCATCCTTTCAGTACTTAAAATATCAGTCACTGAAGAGCTTGAGAGGATAAAAATGTCATGATTGCCCTTCTAAAAGATAATATAGTAGCATCAGGTGAAGCTCCTTGGGGAGAGGTTCATAATTAGGGCACAGATAAGGAGGCTGTTTCTTTTGTTGACTTTAAGCAAGCCTCATCAATGCAACTGGCTCCCAGGCAGTGAACCAACAATTGTTCCTTCTCTTTCTCTCTCCCCACTTCTCTCTTTCTCTCTCTCATTTTCTGCAGGCAATCCTTCTCAGTCTACCTCCCTTCATTATATGAATCCATACCAGCTCAATGCATACGCTATGGCACTGAAGGCTGTTGGGGAGATCATCCAGGACTATGACAGTGATAAAATGTTCCCAGCGCTTGGGTTTGGAGCCAAGATTCCCCCCGATGGGCGTGTGTCTCATGAGTTCCCCTTGGTACTGACACTTCCCTTTGAGTCACACCAGCATTCAAAAACAGCTCCTGAGGGACACTTTGCTTCAAATCAGATCGCGTGTCAGACAGAGGAGTCCAAGTATCACATTCTGTGATGCCTTCTCTGGAGGGAGCAAATGCCATATAATCCTGTCGGCAGAGACTCTGCTTCATTGACAGCTGAATCAATGAATCTTTCCAGCTGCAATCCTAAACACATTGACTAGGGAATAAGCCCCATTTTCTACACTGTTTATTCATTCTTGCTCCTGGATAAAATGAATAGGCTGGCACTGTGTTGTCTTGCTTTCCTTGGCTGTGGCCGGATTCTTCAAGGAGTTTGGAATTTACCTACAAAAAAGTCCCATGGGCCTCCAAATCTTGCTAACTACATCTTTTAGCAGCCTCAGCTGAGTATTATAGTTCAGCAACTTCTGGAGGTCAGAGATTCCCTACTCCTGAGTTAAAGCCTTCAGGACATGAGGGTTATAGTAACAGAAGAAGCAATGTATGTGAGGGCTTTTTAAATGTTGGTGTCTCTGTAAAATCAGCATGAACCTTAGATCCAAGAAAAGAAAAATGTCTTCGCTACCGTTGCTATCCCTCTAAAACCCTGAGAGGGAGTTTCAGTTGCATCAGCTTAATCTCTGCTTGCAGCCAGGAGAGGGTCCTTCATTTGTGATAAATCTAAGGATCCAGCCATGTATTACTTTAAAGACCTAGCAGTTTTGTCTTTTCATACTCCATACTCAAAAATACATGTTTGTGGTGTGATCTAGCATGTGGGGAGAGAGGTAAGATACACATTGCAAGAAATACATCCAGTCATGGATCAAGGCTGCACTAGAGGGCCATAAAGGTAAAGCTCCTAATCTGTCTCAGTAAAATCCTGATCTGGAGCAGACACATGCTCTTTCTTTTAAGAAGGAAGCCAAGCTGCTCAGCTGTCTTGACATAAATTTTTGTAACTGCTGCCTAGCATTTTTATCTTTGTTGTTGCATATTATTAGCTGAAAGGGATGTTTAGAGGCAGGTGGAAGGATTAAAGCAGCCAAAGGAAAATGTTTAAGATGCAGCCTCTGCCTGGAGATTCCCTTTAGTTGTGTCTCCATTTCTCTGTTGCAGAATGGCAACTCTGACAATCCTCACTGTAGTGGAATAGAAGGAATCCTTGAAGCGTATCACCAGAGCCTCAAGACTGTGCAGCTCTATGGCCCCACTAATTTTGCACCAGTGGTTAACCATGTAGCTAGGTAGGTCCACATAAGTATAAAGTACTTCATAAAGCATGACATTGAAAGCTTCTTGCCAGCCTTCATAAAGCAGGCACACAAATTTACCGTTCATTTTTGCAAGCTAAAAACCACATAAACGAACAGTTTCAGTGGATTTGTACGTTGTATCTATTAGGATTGCAATACGGAAGGGTACATAGCCCAGTGAATGAACATATCCTATATTCACAAAAAAGGAAGACAACTCTGAATTGGAAGCAGTCACAGATACACATATATACTTGTCAGAAGCCAAGCCACACTCCAAAAAACAATTGGGCCATGTGGAGAGCCATGATGACCATGATATACAGTTTGATAGGCAAGAGATTTGACTATGACCAGGGCAAGTGTCATTGTCCTCCCTTATCAAATCACATCTCAACTACTAAACAAAGGCCAAGTCAAACATGCCAACCTATATGTGTTGTGGCCCCATTTTTGTGGGACAAGCCCATGATTGTCTTGGGAACCATGGACTCACAAGCTATCCTGGACTCTCCCCAGGGCATGTAAGGTTGAAATCACCCAAGAATCCTTGGGAACTCCAACACCAGCCCCAAGATAGCATCCAGGAATTAGTGGAGGGCGTATGCTCAGCATTTAGATGGTGTAGCCCATCAACAGCTCAGCTTGTCTTTGCTAGTTAATTCCACACAAAGACACTTGCAATCTAACTATGTCCAGGGCGTGCTCCTCATCACTGCGAGGATCTCACATACTACCACAGCCCCCTCCCCACCCACTCCCTGGCATTACTGCTGCTGCAGTATTTAAAATGCAGGTGGGCACATTTCTGATGGCCATATCCCTATCACTGCCCAGCCAGGTCTCAGCAAGATATGCCTGCTTAGCACAGACATCTGTCACTACATCATAGATCAATGCATCCTTATTGTGCACTCACCTGATATTTTTCAGCAGCAAAAAGAGAACAAGGCTCCCAACAATTTAGCTACCCAGGACCAGGACTGGGGCAACAGGCTTACAAGAAAGAACCTACACCAATATGCAGGTCCTCCTTTTCCTGCAATGGTCTACCCATTGGCTCACTGTACCTTCCCCTGCCTATCACAGTCCCAGTTTGTTTCCCACTGTATCACCCTGGAAGCAAACAACATTCCCTTCCTTACATCCTTCCTAATATGCTCCAAGCCCATCCCTCAACCTCAGCTATCCTGAGCATCCACTTAACACATATGCAGATCCCTTTCATAATATCCTACTGACCCTCCTGATTCCTACACCACTTCTCCTTTCCTTCAGTCATGTAGCCTGTCTCCTTCAAATCTTCCCAGGAGCCTTCAGAAATATTTAAGGGAAATAGGAGAAGGTGCAATGAACAGTTTTTTGAGAAACAAATTCTTTCTACTAGTGCTTGTAGTATTACAATTTGATGCCAGCTAACTGCACCATTTGTGTTCAGAATGTGGGATTTTTCAGTTCAGGATTCAGAGGGCCACTAGGAACTTGTATCTTCCTGTATTCAATATTATTTCCTCCCAATTCAGATATGCCTCAGCTGTGCAGGATGGCTCCCAGTATTTCGTTTTGCTCATCATCACAGATGGTGTGATATCAGACATGGCTCAGACAAAAGAAGCAATTGTCAATGTGAGTAACTCACATGGGTGATGTTGCATTCTGATTTCAGCTTTGTAAAACAAGCAGACATGTTCCTGTACGTGCCAGGGTGGACAAAAATTGCTTCAGTTCAGCAGCATGACATATTAGTAAGCTAAGCGCCTGGAATTCTCCTAGCCACAGAAAGAGGTATAGTCTTGCAGCCACAGCATACTATTGTTTTCCTTATTGTAAATCTACTTAATGTTCTCTAACTGGAATTGTAGCAGCTGCCTCTTTTGCTAAGTATGGGAAACCCTGAGAAGTGCAGATGGATGTTTTCAAGCGGAGACAGGACAGGCATTTGCCAGGAACGCTTTCATTTAAATTCCTGCTTGGACTTAGTGTACTAAGTAGCCTTTTCCAGTTGTGATTTTGTATATATATTCTTTTTCCCCAGATAGCCGGTTTTTGCTTCCATCCTATTATTAATACAGCATTTGTAATCAGATTTAGAATCAGTGGCATCCACAAGAAAGGGCAAAAGAGGTCATACTGACAAAAGCAACATTGTGGTATCACGAAACAAGCTTTGCCCCTTTCTTACATGTGTTGTGATGTTGCACACGTGCCCCAAAGCGATCAAGCTTGTGGCATGACACTCTTTCCTTATTCTGACAAAAGCAACAAGATCCTTCCAGGGCCATTACTTAGAATTCTTATGCCTCATTCACACATAATGCTAGCCTACAAGAAAGAAGCCACTGTTTACAAATCAAAATGGATGGGTCTGGACATCAAGCTAAGTCCAAACTCAATACATTAGGTCTTAACTAATGTGTGAATCATGCCATAGAGTGCTCAGTCCATTACACAATTATTCTTCCACCAGGAGTGGGAAATCTGTAGCCTTCCAGATGATGCTCAACTACAACATCCATCTCTACTGGTCATGCTAGCTGAGGCTGCTGGGAGCAACAACTGCCGAGGCTGCTTTTGGCAACATCTGGAAGCCCACAGATTCCCCATACTTCATTCCACCAAATAATTTAGACTTATCTAATCCATGGGGTGCCAAAGCAGAATCACAGCAGTCAGCATCAAATCATATAGCAGGAGAGCAAGCCCCCCAGGGGATGCCTGCCAGTATCCCTTCTGTGGACTGCATCATGGATGAGGTCTGAATTCTTAGCCCCTCTTTTTTATTTTGGCTGAAGTTTGGATCAGGTTTAGGATGCCAAATGAGGGTGGTAAGCAAAGGTTTAAAGCACTCTTTTCACTCCTTAAAACCATCCCACCCCAAATGGATCCTGGCCCTGCCCATATTTTGAATGTGGCCTTCAATATGCTGTGGAAGTAAATGAAAAAAGTCACTGCTGGCTTTTTTCAGCCTCCTGTTTTAATCCTTGTACCACATCAGCTCTTTCCTCTCCTCCCTTTTCACAAATGATGGGAGGGAAGAAAGAAAACTACTTGCCCAAAGCTACTCTTCTCATGGCTCCAATGGACTTTGAACACAGGTTTCCCAGAGGGGATTTGAAAATCAGCTGGACTGTACGAATAAGCAACGCTTCTTGTTATGCAAGTATTTGCTTCTGCGTGCAGTCTGCCCCCACCCTACTGTTTCCAGCCATTAGAACACTGCCATGTGCTATGCTTTTGATTCCAGTGGTGATGAGTGATGAGTGCCGCTCCTGATTAAATTGTTGCTGCAGTCCATTGTTTCAACATTGCTAGAGATCTGCTGTAGCAAAGAACACTGATTATTGCCACTTCTGCATTTAACAGCAAAAACAGTCACTGATTGCTGAAGGGGAAGAGAAAGGAGTTAGATAATTTGATAATAGGACAGAGAGAGCATGTTAAGGACAAGCTCAGGCAGATTGGAAAACACAAAGCATCTCTATTATTCTCCTCTACTCTTGCGATAACTTCCACAGTGGTAAATCCCATCAGCAAGGAAAGGGCCACAAGGGATGGGTGCAGAGTGAGGCGGGTTGGCCTAATTCAAGTGAAAAACATGGCTAGTGCTTACATAGTTTGAGCCCTGGAAGATGAGCTTGCAAGACACATAGGAGCCAGTGCATAGAGGGAAGACTGCCTGGTGCAGACATTCAGCCCTCCATACACAGAGGGCTGTGGAGGCAAGCAGCGATGAATTGAGTAGAGCCAGCAAGTTGATTGTGCTATTCTGACTTCATAAAGGGTGGGAGTGAACTGCTGGATTTTTTTAACTCAGCTGTCTCCATATTATTTTACAGTTGTCTGTTCTAAATTCAGGCTCTTTCTTTGTTTCTTCTCCCCATCTCCATTCTTCATCTCTCCGTTGAGCCCATCTATTCTCATTTGTTTCCTGCTGGCCCTCAGGCTGCCAAACTTCCGATGTCTATAATAATTGTGGGTGTTGGACAGGCTGAATTTGATGGTAAGAATCTGTGTTGTGTTACCTTGTCTCCAGTCATGATATATGAGGATTTTCATAAATCTTATTCCATTGAGAACTAGTAGGGCTATGCCAGTGTAATATAAATTCAGTTCTGCACTTAATCAGTCGCCATGGGCAATCACTGGAGGTGGGGGGGGCAGGTGACATCATGTGCATCATGATATCATTACACAAATTAACAAGTTATGTCATTTCCATCATTTACATGATGGTATTGTGACACACATGATGTCATCATGACTTTCATTAGATGCCTGTGGTAGTGGCAATAATCAGCAGTGCAATGTCCATAAACGCAGCAAGACAGAAGCTGGTTTCACACATTAGAATTGGCAAAAATTCATATCTTCATGTGAGCACAGAGCTCATTGAATGACTTAGGGCCAGTTTCTTTCTTGCTCAGCCCAACTATTTTACAGGGTTGTTACTGTGGGAATCAAATTAGGAGAGTTCCCAATGTATATCATCTTAAGCTCCCAGAGAAAAGGTGGAATATAAACACAATAATAAATGAAAAGAAACCTTACTTAAATAAACCAAGACACATAGTTTAGAGCAATGGATTATATTGCCATCTCTTTAGACAGCTTATTCCATTATCAGATCCTTTGGGAAGATGCTTTGGGATCCAGAAATATATTAACTCTGTAATATATCATAGAGAGTGTGCAACATGTGTCTTAAATCCTTGTCATCCAGTAGCGTACTTTGGCTACATATATTGAAAATAAAGCTTTAAAAATTAGAGCAACTAGCAGATATACAGTATATTTCAGTGATTAAAGATTTGAACAGACATCCTAGCTTCCTTTAATAAAGCATGATTGGTCAAACAAGGTATATACAGTATTTAAGGCTCTGCAAAGCAGCTGTTAAGATCTGTCATGTTTTTGCTTGAGCCTCCAATTAACAACTTTTAGGTCTCATATTTGATAGTCTTCAGTGCGAAATAATGCCATTTGCTGAAAATCTGTATAATGGAATTCAACAGGTAAAATGTAATGGTTTAATTGTACTTTGTAGAGCAGAATGGGACGTGGACATTGACTGGTCCATTAGGAGAACAAGTTGCAACATGCAAAGAGGATATTCAGTATGTGATTCCAGTTCAGCTCTCTGAAAGAAAAGAGTAATGCCATTTTTTACAAGTTTTTTCCCCCAGTCATTAATTAGTCAGTTGTTTGTGGCACAAGTGAATTTTTGGAGCTTTTGGCTCTTCACAGTCTTGTTCCTATTGAATGTTTAATATTTAATTTGATAAACATCCATTTCCCCTTCCTCCAATGGACAGCAATGGTGGAACTGGATGGAGATGACATTCGGATCACCTCTCGTGGAAGGACTGCTGAACGTGACATTGTCCAGGTACCTAGAAGAAAACAATAAGGCTTTATTTTGCACACTCACCAGCCGATATGGAGTTGTAAGACTTGCTGCAAAGATGAATCTCCAGTCTTGAAAGTGGTTAGTCAGTGGGGCTTTCCTAAAATCTTCAGTGTATGTAAATCTCAGATTGTGTGTGAGCAACAATAGCCACCTTGCAAGTTCTCTGAACAAAATGTGTCAAGATAAGAAACGCTGAGTAAACAGTTTTCTTTTCCCCAGTCAACTCAGCTTAATTGACACGAAAACATTCTAGTTTTGGATCAATACTGGGAAAGAAAATAATTCTCAGGAAAAGAGCTCAGTGGGAGAACACATGTTACATACAGAAATTACATACAGACATTTCCAAGTTTAATAGGAGATGTAAAAGATCTCTACCCGGAAGAGTGGGGAGTTGACAGACAAAGATTTATTGTGATATAAGGCATTTTTTGTACTCCTAATTTTTATTTAAATTTGAAGAGGAATTAAACAGAGGTAGATAGCCTTTTGAGATCTGTAGCAGTTTTGGAACTTGCAAGCATAGCACGGGCATGCTCATCCAAGGATTGCTGTGGTAGAAATGACCAGCAACAAAAATACCCTCTCCAAACTGGTATAATTGATTATTCCCCATCATGTCTAGCCCCCTAAGATGCTCTTTCCCAGCCTAGTTTTTTTAAGATAATCTTAAGTCAGATGAGACAGGGTGCCTGGTACCAAGGCAGTAACTGTGGGGACATTAAGGCCTTGGCCATCATATTGCGCAGAGTAGAATAGCCTGACAACATATTTTAACTTATCTAAGACTAGTGAATTCTCTAACAAATTTCTGTCTCTATGAATGTACCTCCGCTGGGGAGGTTTGGCACAATAAGTAGCTGGAGTATTTAAGTGCATGATTACCTTTTATATTACTTTGTGATGCTGTCTAAATCAAATAATATATGATTATAAAATATGTATTTTGATATCTCCCAGTTTGTACCATTCCGAGATTACATTGACCGCACAGGAAACCACGTCTTGAGTATGGCACGACTGGCTAAGGATGTGCTGGCTGAGATTCCAGATCAATTCATCTCCTACATGAAGGGACGTGGCATCAAACCTAACCCAGCTCCACCTCCTTACTCCCCCACAAGCCACACCCTTCAGACTGAAATCTGAAGATCGGGCGAAGAAAAGAGCATTTTGAGAGGGATGTGTCCAAACACCCAGTCACTCTTTGGGATCTGTCTATCTGTTTTCTGGGGCCAGAGACCAAGGCAGTATCACACCAGTGAGAAAATCCACAATGTGTTCTCTTTCCAAAAAAGTTCATATTGAGAACTGTTTATGCTGAAATGCTGGCACAGCAATGTGTTTCACTGGTAGGACATTTCCACTTGGGAAACAGCAAAAATGGGGGGCTTGTTTTTTATTTTTTAAAAAGGACACTCATTGGTAAGCTTCCTCATTTCCTTTCAGGGAGGTAACCAAGATGGAGTCTAGTATGTCATCAGGAAGTTTACATGATTCATTTTGCTTATGGTATGTGTGATGGATTCCCATAAATCTTCCAAGCATCCCTTCCCCCTCCTCCTTCCAGCATCAAGAAGTTTTGAATTATTGGGAATTTTTTATAGCCTGTGTATAATCTGCCTGCCACATTAGGCCTTCTGTCTTTCCTTTGTAACAGCTCAACTTCTGGATTGACCTGGCAGGCTACATATTGTGATCAAGTATCTGTTTGATGTCATGTTGGTGCTGCTACTGGTCCTTGTACTGAACCCTGTCCCTAGCTTGCCTAACTCCCTTTATCGTTTGTAAATCTGCTTTGGCAATATTCGTGCAGGCCTGGATTGTTTTGTTTATTAGTGTGTCTTAATGCCCCCATTAAGTCCCTTTTTAATTGTTTGTAAAATTCTGGTTTTCAGCATCTCCCTGGAAACCAATTTCTATCTTGACTTTGATATTTGACATTTCTGTGTGGGGCATTAATGACGTATTTGGATTATGAGAGAAGAAAATTAAAACTGAGCCTGATTTGTTTAAATACCTTATTGCAGTTTTGCCTGTCAGCAATATAACATTAATAACAGTCTACTCCAGTATTTCTCAACCTGGGCAACTTTAAGACGTGTGGACTTCAACTCCCAGAATTCTGGCTGGTTGACTAGGGAATTCTGGGAGTTGAAGTCCACACATCTTAAAGTTGCTGAGGTTGAGAAACACTGGTCTACTCATTCAGAGCAAACATAGAGCTGCCACATAAAAACACAAAACTCTCCAAATTTCAAAATTTGCATATGCAATCCATTATAGAAGCCCAGCAATTCCTCAGCAGTTCCATCTTTCCTGGAGGGAAATAGAATCATAGGGTGGAAGAGAACTTGGAGGTCTTCTAATCCAACTCCCTGCCCAGGACAGAAATCCAATCTTTGTTTGAAAACTTCCAGCGATGGAGACCCCATAAGTCCCATTATGCTGAATTCTCAGCCAAGCAGATATTCCAATCCTACCCCCAGGGTCAGAAATTCCAGATGGAAAGCCTGTTTGGATTCTGCTCATGAATAATCTCCGTCAGTGGCAGCATATAAACCTCCTCTTACTCATAAATCAGTTTGTCCATCTTGAGACTCCTTCCAGCTCTCCAGACCTGATTTTTTGCATTGCTGTTATTAGCCAATTATACAACCACTCTTGTAGTTGGTGCTCTCTTTCCATAGGAGTACCAGCTGTGGAACAGTTCCCTCTCCAGTGGTGGTACCTAGACAGTTCCCAGAAGCTATGGATTAAGCTCTAGGAAAAAGGCAGAAGTCAGAAGTGAAAACAAAGATTATGCTATGTTCCTTCTCAGGATTAAATGCAATAGTTGAAGCTTCTGAGGATTTGAATATATTGATTATATAGGCCAATTAAAAAAAAAATAAGTTGAAGCCTCCACTTTCCAAGTTTGATCTCATTTGGCAAAGGATGTACTATTTGGCTTAATTATTTGTAGCCTCTCAAATATCCTCCCCCCCCCCCCAAACTGGCTGCTGTGTAGAAGTTCAAAGAAGGTCTACTTCAGAGAACTCACTCTTAATCCTTCTGATCTATTAATAAGATTTGCATTGCAGCTGGATGGTTATTTTGCTCAATTGCAGGGAAAGTGAAAGAAGTATTAAGCAGTAGCTGAGCAATTATGCCCAGCTGCCTCCTTTAGAGTGGTAACAAATGTAGTGCAAGTTGTTTTCTTGTTCTACAATTAATTTGTTGAGGGTCGATCAAAATTTAACAAAGGTACTGTTAACATCTGAGGGATTCTCAGACTTTATATACTGGAATGCCATTCAGTTCTTTTTTTGACTGAAACAATACGCAGGGCAAGAGGGTGCATCTTTTATTAGTCCAATGGCCATATTAGGCTTTGCACAGCACATACTTCCAAAGTGGGTGGTTCCAAGACCTATTTTGGGAGAAGGGTTCAGGGAATATAAGGGATGTCATGTGTGCTATAAACATCAAGATTTAAGGCATTCATTTTGCCCTAAAATGCAAAAGAAAATTCAAGGATTTGGGCCCTCTTGGTCTGCTGGGCCATGAGGGCCACAAAAAGGATGCTGGGAGGCTGCATTTTTTTGCTCCATTGATGTCCATTGAGGGACAAGGGAGTTTATCTACTTAACAACACGTCGGATCATATGAACCAGTTGGTCCATGACGGTTCTGGTCCAGGTTTTGCAGCAGAAGTTCATCTGTTTAAAATGTCTCACACTCCTGAAGACGAGTTCCACTGTAAATAGGAATACAACAGGATCCTGTAAACATCTGTAGAAGCCCATTGTGCTAATTATTTCTAGGCATCCTGTCTTTCAGGTCATTCTCCCACAAATATAACCATAAGGTAAATTGGGACAAGGTAGACTAACCTTGGGACTGGTATGAAAGAAGAAATCCCTATCTGTGGATCAAAGATTTATTTACTGTTTACATTACTGCACCAACAGAGATGCTATACAGAATTACAAAAAGAAGCATGCCTTTATGGTGTCCTTTCCCACCATTTCAGCTATATTGGATCCAGTTTATGGCTGTCTAAGTGGTCTTATTTTGCCACTTAACTGTATAGTACATATTCTTTGCTAGTGGTTGTCTTACCCACAAACTAGTCAACGCTTTTTAAAATGTTTTCCAGAGTTCAGTAGTGGGGTTCTTTTGGTGCTTACTGAAAATTGCTGTATTAGAGCAGCTAATAATGACTGACAGTCTGCTCAGTCCAGATCCTTTGTTGACCCCAACTAGTTGGTAAAATTGACTTCAGCTAGAAATTCTTGGTCTGAGGTTAGAATTACTGTATAAAATTACCCAGCCCATATGCTGAATAACAAACTCAGGGAGAAATCCTGAACTATTTGCAATGAATGAGAGCTCTGTTGTTCACTTTGCTTTGGGCTGTGAATTACACTCCAAAAAATGTAACTTCCACAGCTATATGGTCTTCCAACCCTCAAAAGAAATTATTTTCTTTGTCTTAACTCCATTCAGACATTTCTTCCCCCCTCCCGATCCTTTTCAGAATCAAAGCTTCCATGAGGAGACAGTGGGAAGCATTGCAGCCCTAGTTCTGAATGAGAAGAATGTTTGTGCATGCTAGTTGTACTCCGTCATCTATCTGTGCATTGCTGACATCAGTGAAAGTACAACTGGTGGATGTTATTTACTCTGCAGTTCTCTGTACTGCATCTTTGTTCAAGCATGGTGAAGCATGTCAGAATTGTCTTGTTCTCACTTGTGTGAGTGTAAGGGCAAAGAAACCTACATTGTGCAAACTGGTTCTCTATTGAGTAAGGATGTAATGTTTGCAAGAGAAAGATATCTGACATAAAGGTCATCTTTTTAAGTGGGCAAAACTGCTGAATCTTAGCCTCATAGAATAGCTCTGAGTTGTAATGGAAACCACAGCGATTCTTTAGGCAACTTCATTTGACATGAAGTAGTAAGGCTGTTGTACATGCAGTCTGTTGCCCAAATCAAAACATCATCTAATTACTTAACTTTCTTACAGCGACCCAGCATGTTTTCACCTATCTCTTTTTCTTTCTCCATTCATAGCTCTTTTTATTTGCATGGCAATGATTTTTATCTCTTTTACGCTACTGTACTCTATGTTGAATGTTTGATGTAATATGGTTTCTATTGGATTGCCTTAAATTGAAATAAATGATTCCTTTTATTTAAATAGCATGCAAGCAAGCATAATTTGTTAAGATTGTTAGATGCTGATTGCAAAATTGGGAGGACAAGCCAGAAAAATCATTTCAGGAGAGAGAATGGTGTTACATGGAATATATTGCATATATTAAAAAGAAGCAGATTATGAAAGAAATCTTTTGGAGACATAATCGGTACTGATACTTTTTCCTCGTTGTTAGGGTGTGTACAGAACCTTGGAGCAAATCCTGAAATAATTTTATTATAGAAAAAAAAGATTTACACATTCACCCAAACGGTAATTAAAATATACTTAATAACACAATTCAGTGCGTGGCTCCCTGGGAGTAAGCCCCAATGAGTACAATAGCTTTAACCTAGGTAAAGTCTTGGTTACTAAGACCAGGTATCGATTACAGCTGTTCAATTATTATAATTAGACTAAACATGTAAGCAGCGATTTAAATCAGGAAGGAGAGGCTCAGTTTGTAACATTTTCTGTCTTTAAAGGAAATACATGTAGAGAAAGGCACTTCTGGCACAATTTGTGTGGACACATTTTGAATGTGCTTGAAACAACACAAGGAGTTAGCCTTACAGCACTTAGTCGTGTTTGAAACTTGTGTTTTCACAGTGTTTTGAATTCGAAGTGGGATGATCTGTACTTGAAAGTCTCTTATTGGGACTTGAAAGTATTGCACATCACTATTTGGAAGGTTTTGAGCTTGAAACAGACTGTTTCAAACTTGGAAAATATCTGTTTCAAGTGTGAAACATTTCAATATTACCTAAACAGCCTCTTTTAAATGCAAAACAAGTGTTTCACACAGAAACAACTGTTTTGAACTCAAAATGGGGCATTTTGAACTGGAAATTGTTCAAATCTGAAAGGTTTTGCATAACCCCAGAAGCTAATTTTAAATCTAATTATAGGTATTTACTGACTAATATCATGACTGCTGGAGACTGCTTGGACAGGTTATGCCTTATAGTGTATTCCTAACAAAGGCCAATATTGCTCCTTTTCCTTAAAAGTCCTAGACCAGTGTTGTCCAAACGTGGCCACTTTAAGATGAGTGGACTTCAACTCCCAGAATTTCCCAGCCAGCCATGCTGG